ATCCCCTGACTGCCATGGAGACTGGACAGCGGGCGGCACTGCCCAGCTGGCATTTCATGGTGTCCTCCTGCCCAGCCACGGGAAAGGCTCTCGGCAGAGCATGGGGACCAAGTGGGGGTCATCACCCTGGCCAGGAATGGCCGGGCAGCGGGACAGGGCAGAGGGGTCACAGCTGCCCAGCCAGAGCCTGTATGGGGCCCAGAGTCAGGGCCCACTCTGGCCAGCCTGCTTCTGCCCCCAATGCTCCCCTGCTGCCTGGCCACCTGCCCCTCTCCAGGGCCCCCTTGCCTTCATCTCCCCATCCCCTGCCATCTCGCTGGCCTCTCTGAGGGCGGAGGGGGCCGTCCTCAGAGTCTCCCAATGGCCAGGGCCCCTGTCATCACGGGCATCACAGAGTCTGCCCAGCCCCACCCAAGCTATAGGAGGCCACTCTGAAGTGGGCAGCATGAAGGCCAGGGCAGGCCTTCCCGGCACACTGACATGGGTTTCAGCCCCGGCACTACACACGGTTCCCCGGGCCAGGCAGAGGGAGTCAGCCCTGCACACCCAGGGGTGGCCCAGGACAAAATGGGTGAACAGGAGGCCTTCTGGGGGTCGGCACATGCCCGGTATAGGCCAGCCCCACCCCACCCCCGCACACAGCCAGCCCACACCCCACATGTGGCCAGCCCCATAATCCCTGCACACAGCCAGCCCCACACCCCCGCACATGGTCAGCCCCACACCCCTGCACCGCCCTGGCATGTAGGGGATCCTCAGAGCACTCGGGGCCACTGGAGCACAGAAACAAGAGGCTCCTGAGTGCCAGGTGTGGCCCTGAGGACCTGCAGGGAATGGACGTGCAAAGGCCCTCCAGTAGCGACCACCAGCAGCTCCCAGAGGCCCAGGCCAGGTGCAGTGTGAGACATGCCAGCACTTTCCAGAATGTTCCAGGGGAGTGAGCAGACCCGGGGCGGGAGGGCTGGGGAAGCCTGGAGGGCGTGACCCATCACCAGCAGGTGCGGCTGGAGGACGGCGGGTCTCAGGGCCCCGAGCTCCAGTGCTCTGCCTGATGTGCCCACTGTGCATGTCTGAGCAGGAGGGTCACCCCCACTTCAGAGAACAGGACTGGGACTCGGGGGGGGACAAAGAGGCCCAGCCCACGACTCAGTGTCCCCTGGGCCACCCAGGACCCGCCCTTGGCTCCCCGTTCTTCCCGGTGGGCTGTGGGGGGCCGTGGGGGAAACAGGGCTCAGGCCTCTGCTGACCTGTGTGCCAGGGTCACCCTGCCCGGTCCCTCATCTGCCCCTGGGACTCTCCGCAGAAGTCAGGCACCCAGTGACCATCGGCCAGCCAGGGTGCAGCTCTGACGCTGGACTGGTCAGTGACCAGCCCGGGGCCAGTTGAGTGACCGAGAACGTGGAGCACCAGGAGTGGACGTGGTGCTGGAGGCTCCTGTGAGGAGGACGGGAAGGAAGGTGCGAGAAGCAGGTGAGGCCGGGCACAGGCGAGGCTGGCGGGCAGGCCTGGAAGGGACGGCTCCTGCCAGAGCAGCCACCAGTGGCCTGGTGGGAGAGCCCCGGGGGCTGCAGCAGAACCCCCGAGGGCGTCGGCGCCAAGGGGTCACAGGCCGACCTCGGGCTCGGGGGGCCACAGTCAACCTGCAGTGTCCCCACGGGCAGGCGGCCTCACGTGGTCCTGTTCGGCCACTCTCCCAAAGACAGAGCGAAGGGCCCAGGCGCGCAGGGTCAAGGAGGGGGCAGAGGGCCGAGGCTCTGTGGCCCGGCCCGCCCAACTCCCCCACACCCGCCAGGCTGATCCGCCGAGCATTTAAACCCCGTCGCCATGGCTGCTAATTAGAACTGTCAACTGCCTCTCAGTCACCCGGAGAACAGGAGCCTCTCGGAAGGCATGAGGAGAGACGAAGAAATGACTTTGGCAGCTTCCAGCGTGATTTATGAGGTCTGCCATGGATGGATTTATTAATCTCTTTGTCAAAGGGCCGCTGACAGAGAGTTCGTGTCGTCTGTAATAAACTCGCGGGCTCACGCAAGCGCCTGTTAATACCCTCGTCTGGGGGCACGCGGGGCAGGAGGCAGGGGCAGGGGCAGGGTGTGCGCCCAGAGCAGACCAGGCTCGCCTTGGCTCTCCAACCTCAGCACACGCACCCGGGGACCCAGGCTGGCACAGACGCGCCCGGCCCGTGGCAGCCTGTGCCCTCCATGCTGGGGCGAGGGGGACAGGCCGAAGGCAGGGCCTGGGGGGGCCGCAGCTGGGGGAGCGGGCCAGGAGGACAGCGGGGCTTTGTGTCAAGCCGGCACTTAGAAAACATGATCATCACCCACCTCTGGGAGAGGCGAGTGTGTGGAAAGTTCCATGAACAGAGGGCTATGGGCTGTGCTTGCTGTGTACCCCACTCCTGCTGTGGTACACACATGCACACACGGATGCACATGCAGGCAAACACGTGCACACACACATGGATGCACACATGCACGTACACATGTGCACAGATGATGTGCATGTACACACATGCACACATGGGTGCACATGCAGGCATGAACATGCACACGAACACACATGCATGTACACACATGCAAGCACACACATGCACACACGGGTGTATATGCACGCATGGATGCACATACAGGCAAACATGTGCAAACACATGGATGCACACATGGAGGCAGACACATGCACACATGTGTACACACAGATGCACGCATGCATTCACACATGGACACGCATGCATGGACACACATGTACACATGGATGCACACATGCAGGCACACATATGCACACACATGAATGCACACATACAGGCATACACATGCAGACACGCATGCACACATGCAGGCACGCATGCACACACGTGGATGCACACCTGCTGGTAGATACACACACATGCAGACACACTCAAGCAAGCACACACGGATGTACGCACAGCATGCACACGGGGCATGTCTGTCTTGCTCCCACTCACATGAGGGACTATCTCTGCGTTGGCTGGGAAGGAGCAGTGAGTGGGGACAGGACACAGGGTGGCCCAAGCCCTGCGGGGGCCTATGGCACTGCCTTACTCCTGGCCCAGAGCAGGGCAAGGCAGGAGCCCCAACCCGCTCCCTGGGACCTGGGGCAGGGGCTGTGCTGGGGCTGGCAGGGAGGGGCAGTGGGGGGCCTCAGGGGGCACCCGGTGTCCTGGGGAACGTGGGAAACAGCTCAGGCCCACCAGCCCTGGAGTAATGGCAGGACGAAGGCGGCAGGGCCAGGGGCAGGGCCTGAGCCGGATGCTGTCCCCAGAGCCCAGGCGCAGGCAGGGAGGTCCTGGGGGCATGACGGCCAGGAAGGGTCAGGCCTTAAGGGAGGAGACGAGCCCAGGTGAGCCTGGGAGGGCAGGCAGGACACGCACAGCTGACGTCTGAGCTGGCTGCTGCCGATGCCCAGAGCACGTCCCCACTCCAGGTGCCAGGCCTCGGGCGCAGGAGCCCCTGGACTGCAGGCAGAGGGACCCCAGGAGAGCGGGTCACAGGGGCAGTCCGACGGACAGTTCTAAGGACGGGTGTTTCCAGCGAGGCCATTCTGCGCAATGGCCTGGGTGGCCGCAGGAACTCCCCCGGCACTGGGGTGTCACTGGTCTGCAGGTCCCATCTTCTCTCCAGGGGCCGAGCGCGGCCTGGCAGTCTCTGGGCCACACTGCTCGGTGGGACCTAGGGGAGGAGACGGTGAGCACCCCGTGCGTGATAAAAGTCAGGGTTTAGGCAACAGCAGAGAGGAGCACGGTGAGGAGCGAGACAGATGGGCCGCGGGCCACGGCATTGGGGAGTCAGGGGCAGCACCAGGCAGGCTTCCTGGAGGAGGTGGCATGTCTGCTTCAGCTTTTCATCCCTGAACACAGCCTCAGAAGCTTGGCTTGATGGAGCCTGCCTCACCGTCCACAGTCCCCCAATGCCACCGCTGGCCTGGACATCTGAGGCCTTCCCCTGCCTCAGAAACATTCTAGAATGTTCCTTGATAGTCGCAGGCACCTGCTCCCCCCACACCAAGAGCCTTTTCTCACTCCCGGCCTGGTCTGGGGCCTCTCCAGGGGGCTCCGCTCCCCCTCAACCCTGCAGGCTGTACCCAGGAGGGGCTGGGCCGTGACCCCCACTTCATGAGCCCCCTGCCTGGTCCTCGGGGAGAGCAGCAGGAGGACGGAGCCTCTGACCCGCCTGCCCATGCCCTCCCCTGCCTGCGTCCACTGTGCCACCCTTCAGTGACACGGGACCAAGGGCGCATCAGGGCACCAGGGGACCGCCAGGGACCCTCCTTGAGGCTTTGAAGCAGTTGACAGCAGGGAGGGACTGGGCTGACCCAGCAGGGCGCAGCCTCTGCCTCCAGGGGGCCGGCCCGGGACGGAGCCGGGACCTCACATTGCGTGTCTTAAGGACAAGGTGACCCTGCGTGTGTCTGCTGGACAAGGCAGCCTGAGCAAAGACCTGGGAAGCCGTTGGCCCGCCAGGCTCTGTGTCCAGGGCCAGCCGGGGCTCCGCTGTCCCGCCCCGGGGCGGCACCCCGCTTCTCAGCCCTCCTGGGGCAGCTGAAGCTAGGCTGGGCCAGGCGGCTACCGGTACCCATCTGGGTTCTCGGGCTGGCCAGCAGGCAGAGCTATAAAAAGCGGGATCTGCGTCCAAGAACTCAGCCGAGACCCACGCGGGGGAAGTGCCACTTTTAACCCACGTGGTGCCAACACCCCGTGGTGTCGAGGAAGCCGGTGAGCGGGTTGGACGAGGGGGCGGATGCCCAGATGGGGAGCTGCAGTGACCACCTGCGGGCCCAGGCTGGGCAGACTCACACCTGGCAGCTGGGGGCACCAGGCCAGCCCCTCGTAGGGCACAAGGGAGTGTGGGCTAAGACCACCAAAGGCTTGTGGGGCTGGGGCCATGACAGCCCAGCTGACCACCCAGTGCTGACTGCCCAATGCTGACCACTCAGTGCTGACCACCCCGTGCTGACCACCCAGCTAACTGCCTGCCTGCCCACAGGTCCCTGTCTGGTCGCATCGTGGGCGGCGTCTGGTGGTTCTTCACCCTCATCATCATCAGCTCGTACACGGCCAACCTGGCGGCCTTCCTGACAGTGGAGCGCATGGTGTCCCCCATCGAGAGCGCCGAGGACCTGGCCAAGCAGACGGAGATCGCCTACGGCACGCTGGAGGCCGGCTCCACCAAGGAGTTCTTCCGGGTACGGCCCTCCTCCCGTCAGCCCTGCCCTGCCGGCCCCGCCCCTGTGCCAAGGAGCCTTCACACCAGAGCCTAGTCACATGCTGAGAGCACACACGTACATATGCACACACACACGTGTGCTCACACATATGCACGCGCACGGCGTTTTCAAGGCCAGTCACAGCATATCCGCACATGGGAAAGGGCAGTCCCAGGGAACCGTGTTGAACTGTGGGCTGCCATGGGCCAGAGCTGGGCTGGGTCTGTTGGGGAGGGCATGGGCACACACACACAAACACACACACATACACACATGTGCACACACGCACACACATACACACATGTGCACACGCGCACACACATGCACACAATACACAAAAGCACATGCACACACATGCACACAATACACGTGCACACATACATGCACACACATACACATATGTGCATATGCACACAGACACACATGTGCACACATACACACAATACACACAAGCATACATGCACACAACGCACACAAGCACACATATACACACAATACATATACACACATGAGCATGCACACATGTACACACACGTGCACATGCAGACACATGTACACACACAAATGCATGCATACACATACACAGCACACACGCACAAATGTGCATGCACAGAGACACACGCATACACACATGCACACAGACATGTGTGCACACACACCACACGCACACGTAGACACACATGCGCACACACAGAAACACACACACGCACAGGCAGATACTCGGGGCCTCGTCAGGGGCCTGGGCTCTGCCCCCCAGGCTGCTGCTCCCCATAGCAGATGGCACGTGCCGGGGGCAGCTGCACCCCCGCCTGGCAAGGGGCTCGGAGGAAAGAGCTGCCCTGGGGGTCGGCACGCGTGTCCCTGGCCCCCGCAGGAAGGGGCCATGTGCTAGCCGGGGTCGGCGACGGGGAGAGACCCGGCAGTGGGGCTCCGGCGCGTGTCCGCCCCCGCGTGGACAGCTTAGCAGGGGCCCGGCCCTCTCCCCGCTCACACGCTGCCCCCGCAGAGGTCCAAGATCGCCGTGTTCGAGAAGATGTGGACGTACATGAAGTCGGCCGAGCCGTCCGTGTTCGTGCGCACCACAGAGGAGGGCATGATCCGGGTGCGCAAGTCCAAGGGCAAGTACGCGTACCTGCTGGAGTCCACCATGAACGAGTACATCGAGCAGCGCCGGCCCTGCGACACCATGAAGGTGGGCGGCAACCTGGACTCCAAGGGCTACGGCATCGCCACGCCCAAGGGCTCGGCCCTCAGGTACGTGTCCAGCGCCCGCCCGAGGCCGGAGCCGCGGTGGCCGCGGGTCCCCACCCCCACGTGCGTGTGACCTCGTGTTCCCGTGCTGTGCTCTGTGACTCCCTCGTCAGACATCCCGCCCCGCCCCTGCCAGCAGGACCCCCGGGACTCCAATGCCTTGCCCGAGGTGGCCCGAGGTGACTTGGGTCCAAACCTGAGCAAGGGACAGCGGCGCCTTCCCTGAGCACAGGGCTGAAGGGGGGGGGGGGAGGCGGTTTGGGACCCCAGTACCCTGCCCCATCCCAGCCACTGTGAGACCACCCGGGAAGTCAGTTCCTCCTGGGAGATGGCCAGGGGAGGGGTGGGGACGGCCACAGGGTGGACAGCAGGGGCCAGAGAACTGCCTGCACCCTCCAGGCCCTGGGCACCGCACCGGGGCAGTCACCAGCACTGGCCGGGGTGGCCTTAACAGCACTGCACACATCCAGGGGAGGAGCTGCTGAGGGGGCTGTCCCACGGTGCTCAGGGGCAGTGCCGGGGGGGACAGCCCAAAAGCCCAGGGCGCCCCGTGGGTGGACACGGTGAGTCCCGGCAGGCAGGGGAGGGAGGAAGCGCAGAGCTGCAGGCAGGGCAAGGGCTCCAGTTCGGAGGGTCCCTGGACACCCACAGCCCAGCCTGTCCCAGCCGAAGCGTCCACGGGGGCCTGTCTCTGCCCTGGCCCGGAATGCGCTGAGGCCCACGTCGTGGACGTGCCGGGCTCCTGGTAGCCGCTGTCCGTGGGCATGCTGGAGGCCTTGGGACGGAGTGGGCAGCCGGCCCCTGCCCACAGCTCTGCTGCTCCTGGGACAGCATCTCTGCCGCACCATGGGACTGGGCCTGGACAAGGCCACTGGGCCATCACCCCCTAGTGACCGGTGGCCCCTCACACGCTCTGGCAGGGCCAGGGCGTCTGGCCGAGACAGCACGGGGAGGTCTCACACTGCCCCTGCCAGCCACTGGCTCTGGTAGGAGGGACTGGCCAGCTGGCCTGTAGTGGGGCTGCGTGTCCACGCAGGTCCCAGGTCAGTGCTGGTACCTGTCTGCCCGACCACAGGCTGTCGGGCGGCACCTGGTGACCAAGGGAGGCGGGAAGCGGGCAGGGCCTCCCCAAGGGCCCACGGCGGCCGTGGGCAGGCAGCGACACCTCCACCGGGAAGGCGCCCAGCACTGCCCCCAGCAACACCCCCACAGGATCCCCCAGCCCTGGCCCCACCCCTGACCAGGTTTGGCTAGTCCCCACGGGGCCACCCCCCTCTGCCCTGCAGAAACACACTGCCCGCCCCCACGGCCAGCAGGAAGGACACGTGTGGCCCCCAAGGAACCCGGGAAACCAGCCCAGGCCCTGCTCTCGGGCCGCAGCATCAATCCAGGCTGCCAGGCGAATGCCGGCCCCTTCCACAGGCCTCGCGGCTGACGGCAGCCAGGGAGCCGGTTGTCATGGCAACCTCAGAAACTCAGCAGCCCGGTGGAGACTAAGAGCCCTGGGAAGGAGGAAGTGGTGCTCCGAGGCCTGGGGAGGGCTGGGCCGGCAGGACAGAGGCTGTGTGCACATGTGCACACATGTATGCGTACCTGTGTGTGTACGTGCACGAAGGGTGTACATGTGAGTACACGTGAGTGCACTGTGTACATGAACACATGCGTGTGCGTGAGTACACATGTGTGTATGTATGTGAGTGTACTGTGTGCATGTGAGTACATGTGTGCATGCATAACGTGAGTGCACTGTGTGCATGAGAGCACACGTGTGTGAATACACATGTGAGTGCACTGTGTGCATATGAGTACGCATGTGTGAATATATGTGTGTGCACATGTAAGAGTATACTGCATGCATGTGAGTACACACGTGTGTATGTGTGTGCACATATGTGCGTGTGTACACATGTGTCCATGCGTGTGCACATGCTGAGAGCCTGGTCGAGAGCAGAGAGGGCCCGGCTGCGTTCCTGGGCCCCATTGGTGGGGGCGGGGGGAGGTGGCAGCCACAGGCCATGTGACAGGGCCCTGGGGCCCATGAGCCCCTTGGTGTCTGCCGCGATGGCTCCTGGTCAATCCCAGAGGACCCCGTGGGTTCCACGAGACGGGCTGGCACTGCTGCCGGCAGCACCCGCTGTGGGGGTTGTGGGCCCCTTAGGGGACCCCCCCTGTGCCTGCCCTCCCTGTGAGGGTCAGAGGGCACGCACGGCCTCTCCCTCGGCTGAAGCCCCTCTCGGGGGCTGGGCAGGCCCAGTGGGGCCCGTGCATGGTTTCTCGTGCGAGAGGGGGTCCTTGCCAGGCCCCCGGAGGGTCTGGAGAACGCAGAGGCTCAGACAGCGGCCCGCGTGAGGCGGGGGGCAGCGGGGACGGTGGGAGCAGCTGGGGCACCCGCCGGCAGGCAGGCGGCCTGTCGCTTTCTTTCAGAGGTTGTAGCTGTCAAAAATAGCCTTCCTCCTCCTCCTCTCTGCTCCCTCATCAGCAACTTTATTTCCGGCCCCTTGGCGGCAGCTGCTGTGGCGGGCAGGGGGCGGGGGAGGGGTCTGGCGCTGTGGAGCTCAAAGGCCCCCGCGTGACCTTGGGAAGGGCATGCCGGCCCCAGGACGCTGGGCCCCAAGCCGGGGCTGGGCGTGAACCCCACACCTGCCGGCCAGGGCCAGGCACCCCAGACCAGTGTCCGTCCTGCAGCCTCGCCCCCACGCGCAGCCTGGCAGCACCCGGCTGCCTCTGGCGGCTGCCGCCGTCCACCCAGGGCCAGGGGCTTGGCAGCCCTGCAGCAGCTCAGCAGCAGCCGGTGTTCTTGACCCAGCCCCTGGCTCCCGGGCAGGACTGTCCACGGCTCCTGCCCACCTGCAGGCTGAGAACCTAGAGGGGACCTGGCCTGTGTCCCGCTCCAGATGGCGGGAGGGCCACTGGCCGCAACAGTCGAAGGGGCAGGCGGGCAGCTGGGCTCCTTCAGCAGCTGGAGGGGGCAGAGGGGCCCGAGGCCAGTGGTCCGAGCAAGTCTCCGCTCTCCCAGAAGGCAAGCAGGGCTCCGGCCACCCAGGGCTGCACGCCTGCAGCCACGCCCCGCACACGCCCGGCCTCCAGGACAGAGACGTGCCCGCCCCCCAGTGCCCCCAGGTGCCCCCTGCCTTCTCCGGGTGCCCAGGGGCTTTCCGAGCCGGCTCCCGAATCGGTTGCGTGGTGCCAGGCTGCACTCAGGGCTGAGGGCAAAGCACCTCCCAGCCCTCGGCGCTCTTCCTGCCCAGCCTTCCACACGAGCATGCATGTGTGTGTGCATGTGTGCGCATGTGTGTGAGCATGTGTGTGCATGTGTGTGAGCATGTGTGTATGTGTGTGCACATGTATGCATGTGTGTATGTATGTGCATGTGTATGCATATACGTATGTGTGTGCATATGTGTGTATGCATGTGTGTATGTGTGTGCATGTGTGCATATGTGTGCATGTGCGTGTGTGTGCATGTGTGCATACATGTGTGTGCATGTGTGCGCATGTGTATATGTGTGCATGTAAACGTGTGTGTGCGCGTGTGTGTGCATGTGTGCATGTATGTGTGTATGTGTGTATGTGCATGTGTGTGCGTGTGTTTGCATATGTGCACGTGTGCGTGCGTGTTCCAGGCATCAAGTCAGCATCTCACACAGCCACAGCAAGTGCTGCAGCCCAGAGATGCCCTCCCGGCCCCCAGTCCTTAGCATCTCACGGGCTAGCGCGACTTATAAGAGTATAAATATCCTTGTGCGTTGGGGCTAAGCCACACGTCCCCCACAGAGGGCCCGGCCCCCTGGCACTGTTCAAGTCCCCCGAGCCCTCGGACAGCGCTGCCCGGCTGCCCTGCTCTGCCCGCCCCGCACAGCCTGTCGCCCGAGAGCGGGCAACACCTGCCCGGGAGGCCCCAGCACTGCCCTGCCCTGGCACGGCCAGCAGGAGGAATGACGGTGCGCCCCAGGGCACACGAAAAAACAGCTCCTGGGACACAGATGCCCCAGCTCTGGGAACGGACCCTGGAGTGCAGGTGTCCAGACAGACTGTCCCCACTGTTCCTTGCTGCCATCTGCCCACCTCACAGAGCCCCAGAGCTGGGCCGGGCCCCTGCCCAGGCTTGCGGGAGAGGCTGCCAGTGATTGTGAGCCGGCGGGCCAGGGAATGGCCCGGCCACTCCTGGGATGGAGGGAGGGAGGGAGGGAGGGAGGGAGGGAGGGAGGGAGGGAGGGAAGGAGGAGGGAGGAGGGAGGAGCCACGCAGTGTGCCAGCACCAGGGGTGCTGTGTGCCCTGCTCTGGTCACTGTCGGCACCCGTGTGCCCTGCTATGGTCAGCGGCCCAGCGACAGCTGTGCTTCAGGGTGGGACGGGTGGCAGGCAGGGCTGCTGGGAGTCTCCCACAGGAGGGGCAGTGTGGGGTGGTGGTCAGTGCCAGCACTGCCCTGGGTGTCCACGCAGCACTCAGGGAAGCTGAGGTAGGGTCACTCGTCTGGATGGTTCCAGGGGCTCCCCACAAAGGGCAGGGACCCTGCAGACACCTGTAGACCCCCTGCGGACCCTGCTCCAGCCTGTGCGCCTGTCACCCACTCCCAGAAGCTCTGGGCCTCGCCCAGGGTGTCACGTGTGGGGCCACCCTTGGCCGGAGCAGGCGAGAATCAGGGGGACCAGGCAGGCCCCAGGGACACGTGCTGTCCACCAGCAGCCCTGCCCGGCCCCCATCTCAGCTCAGGGGGCGGGGGGGGGGCCTGCTCCACTACAGCCCTGAGCGTGTCTGCCCGTGTCCGTCAGTGTCTGCCCCGTGTCACCACGTGTCCACCCGTGTCTACCCGTGTCCACCCAAGTTCGTGCCGGGACCCCATGCCATGTGGCTGCTGACACTCATTCCCTTCCAGGAGGAGCTGGCGGGGCCTCGGAGCCGCCCCTGCTGAGCACGCTGGTGCCAGCCAGGACCCCCTAACCTCTCCCGCCTCTCTCCCCTCACACAGCGCCAGGAGAGGAGCTCCCACAGCCTCTGGAAAGGACGAGCGAGCGTCCCTCTGCCCGCGGGTCTCCTGCCTGGCCAGGCTCCTAACCGCTTCCTCCCTCAGGCTCCAGCCCACCCTGCTGTGACTGAGTTAACGGAATATTAGCCGCTGACCTGACCTGCTGCTCACTCTCCCCTCCCTCCTCCTCCTCCTCTTCCCTCCTCCTCCTTCCTCCCTCTCCCTCTCCCTCTCTCTCTCTCTCCCCCTCCACCTTGTTCCTTCTCTCCCTCCCTCTGTCCCTCTCTCTTCCTCCCTTTCTCCCTCTCCTCCTCTCTGTGTGTTGTGATGTGACAGACACTCAGGGGACCGGCGAGCCGGTGCCTGGCCTGCGGCTGCCACGTTGTAATTCCTTTGACCCCGACCAGTCACTGGCCGCCTGGGCCCCTGGGTCCGAAAGGGCAGAACTCCCCGGGGGGCACCGGGAAGGCGGGTGGGGAGGGAGGCGGCGAGGGCTTGTGCTCTGGGCGCAGGCCCCGTCCCGCGGTGCCAGTGCCGTGGCACGGGGGTCCGTCCCTGGGGTCAAAGGGCAACCTGGCAGGCTGGCCCAGGCCGCGGCGCGCCGCCCCGGGTCACGTGACTTGCCGCGTGTCCTCCGCTGTAACTCATCGCGTGTTATCTATTCGTTTTTAAAGAAACCCAGTAAACCTGGCAGTGTTAAAACTGAACGAGCAGGGGCTACTGGACAAATTGAAAAACAAATGGTGGTACGACAAGGGCGAGTGCGGCAGCGGGGGCGGTGATTCCAAGGTCAGCCCCAGCGCGAGCACGCGGTCTAGCGGGCGCGGCCAGCGCGGCGGGACCAGCAACGGCCAGGCCCCTGCGGCCCCCTCCGAGGGACCCCCGGCCTCCCGAGCCCGTGACGGCGGCCCCGCCCAGGGGCCGGCCCGGACCCGGCAGGCGGCGGCGGCCACCAGGACCCGGGGCCAGCGGCCGCCCCGGAGCCCCGGTCGCCGGGCCGCGCGCAGAGGCCGCGTTGCTGGTCACTCCCGCTGGGCGGGGCCGCCGCGCGTGCGCAGGAGCGGGAGGGGGCGCGGCGGGCGCGGGGGGCGGGCAGCGCGGCGGGCGCTGCGGTGCTGCGGATGGTGCTGTCTGCGAATAACATAAGATAACATTGGTGATGTTATTTATGTTATTTCCCCTGGCTGAAGAGGCCCCGTAAACCTAGCGGTTTTGAAACTGAGTGAGCAAGGCGTCTTAGACAAGCTGAAAAGCAAATGGTGGTACGATAAAGGGGAGTGTGGAAGCAAGGACTCCGGAAGTAAGGTCAGTCACGCCGCAGGGGCCGCCGCCCTAGACGCAGGGGTGGACCGCCGGCCGGGGGGGCGCAGGAGCGCGCGGCGCGGGCAGGAGGGCCGCGGGGAGCCGGGCCTGGACGCGCGCGGCCACGCGCCCCGCCCCGCCCCGCCCCGCCGCCCCCAGGCGCTGCCCAGGCGGCCGCAGGCCCGGCCCCTCCCAGGCCAGGCGGGGGTCACGCCCGGACGGGCGCCAGGCCCGGCCTCTCACGGGGTCACGCGGGACTCGAGAGCACCCCGGCCTCCAGGACGCACTGCATGCGCCCAGGCGCACTCGCGCGCGCACGCACATTCACGCTCAGTCGCACACTCGCTCGCACAGTCGCACTCACAGTCACACACTCGCGCACGCACATTCGCGCTCATAGTCGCACACTCGCTCACGCACATTCACACACACTCACACGCACATTCACACTCACAGTCACACACTTGCTCACACACATTCACACACACTCACACACGCATTCACTCACAGTCACACACTTGCTCACACACATTCACACACACTCACACACGCATTCACACAGTCACACACTCGCTCACACACATTCACACTCACACAGTCACACACTCGCTCACACACATGAACATATCCACTCATTCGATCATACGATCACTCATACACACATTCATACACTCACACATTCACACTATCACTCACAGCTGCACACTCACCACATTCACACACACTCATACACATTCACACGTCCACACACTCACATGCTCACACAGACCCACACATTCACACACGATCACTCGCACTTGCTCACACACACTAACACAATCACACTCAGGTGCATGCACACACTCAGGCATATTCACACACACACACTTGCTCTTTCACACACTCACTCTCACACGTATTCACTTTCACACTCATACACGTGCTCCCAGTCACATTAGCACACATTTATACAACCCATGCTCAAACATACTCACTTGAAGTCACACTCAGGCACGCTCACACACTCTCACATTCACATTCATACACACTCACACACATGCTTGTGCTCACACTCAGACACATACACTCACACACTCATGCTCACACTCACATTCTCACACACATTCTTACTCGCATATGCTCACACACATTCACACATTCACGCACGTTCACACAGTCACACACACACTCACACACTCCCTCGTGCTGGCGTGCGTACACGGGCCTTGACCCACCACGGCTGCTGAAGCTCAGACCAGCCCACACCGGAGGCCGCAGCACCGCAGGGTACACTCACTATTTCCTGCACAATCTTGAAAGCCACGACACGGGGAGACTTCTCTGAGGCAGGCAGTGCGTGGGCTGCGAGCCTGGGCAGGGTCAGGAGATCGACGTGGGGGCAGCCGGGTGGGCCCAGGGATGGCACCAGGGGACAGGGGTGTCCCAAGCCAGGCCAGAACCCAGGGACTGGCCCCCACGCGCCCCTTGCCCCCTCAGGCCTCGGAAAACTCCCCCAGGCAGCCCTGAGGCCTCACGCACCTGCCGCGTCCCCGGCTCTGCCCGGCGGGTCCGTCCCGTCCAGAGCACTCCAGGGGCCCCGCTGCCCAGTGCTGGCCTCGCTCAGACCCGGAGCAGTGGCTCCTCCCCCATCCCTGAAGACCCAGCTACTGGCAAGGGTGTGCAGGCCGCCCGACCCTCCCCCCCCCCAGCGTTCTCCGCCCAACCCTGCCCAGCCGCCCGTCCCGAGGGCCCCCACCTGGCCGCTCACTTCCCTGAGACACACCAGCTGCCTCAGAAAACACTCCTGGGGCCCAAAGCTCAGGACACACAGGGAGCGAGAGACGTCCCCAGGAGAGGACGGGGGCCACGCGCAGTGAGGGGCTCATGGGTGCCGGAGCAGGAGGGAAGCACTGGCACAGGCCCAGCCCGGCCGCCCGTGGCCCCCGGAAGAGACCTCCCCAGGGACAGTCGAACGGCCTTGGCTTGTCCAGTTCCAGAGGCCACCAGAAGACAGGACCCGAGCCGATCCCACGAGGGGCCAGCACCTGTGTCCTGGCATCTCACCCGCCCCCCAGAGCCCCTCTAGTGCCACAGAGAAGCCGCCGGTGCCGGGAGCCACCCTGATTCCTGGGAGGGACCTTGGTCCAAAGACAGAGCGGGACCCCCCAGCCTGCCTGGCGCGTGGGAAGAGAAATATGGAAAGGAAGGAAGACCCCTCCCAACACGAACAGAAGGTGGTGATGGGCACATGGGCCGGGCAGCCGTAGGAAGCTTGTCAGCACTGCCCGCCCACCCCCCAGGCATGCTGCAACTGTTCTCTCCCCCTACAAGCTGCCTGGCCCCGGGGAGCACAGCCAGCACAGGCTGGGAGCACGGAGAGCCCAGGACCCCGACTCTGATGGCCGAGGCCAGCAGCAGCCCTGCGGGAGCACACGGCCCGCGGCCGCCACCCAGCCAGACCCCACCCCAGCCCTGACCCAAGGCAGCTTCTCCCGCAGGTGACGCAGCCACACCAGCTGATGGCTTTCCAGGACACCGGCGCTGGGTCCACTCCCTGTGTGGAAGCGCCTGGGATCCAGCTCTGCCCCCACTGCCCAACGTCCTGAGGTGGCCACCCCACCCCAGCCTCTCCCCGCAGCTCTGCCACCGCCCGGTCCCCGTCCACTTCTCCCCCAGAACTCAGGGCCGCGAGTCGGGTGCTCTTCACCATCCGTCCGGAGAGAACTCTCTCGGGGGCCAGAGGGCACAGCAGGCTGATGGACGCGGCCACCCCAGGTTCCATCCCTGGCACCCCCAGAGTCCCCGAGTCCCGCCAGGAGTGAGCACAGAGCCAGGAGTCCCAAAGCAAACAGAATAACTTCTAGGAACCTGGGATGAAGTTTGTATCTAGGGCACGTCATGGCCAGTCCCAGCTCCTGGCTGGGCCAGAGCCTGCCGGGAAGGGCAGGGCAGGGGGGACGCGGCTCTCGGGGACGGCAGGAGGAGCCAGGGAGCCCAGGGCCAGGCGGGGGCGGGCCGCTGTGCTGACGGGGTCTCCATGCCCGGCGAGGCAGCGGCGGGAGGGAAAGAGAGGCAGGACTCAGGCGGGAGAGTCTCGCACACACAGACACACACCACGCACACGCACACGCACACACACAACTCCCGGGGACGTGCGCCTGAGTCTTGCCTCTGGGCGGCGCGGAGCGGGTGAAGGGGTGAGTGTCTGTGTGTGGGTGCTGACGCGAGCGCCCGGCACCCGCTGATGCCCCCTTCCTCCGCCAGGACAAGACCAGCGCCCTGAGCCTCAGCAACGTGGCCGGCGTCTTCTACATCCTCATCGGGGGCCTCGGCCTGGCCATGCTGGTCGCCCTGGTGGAGTTCTGCTACAAATCCCGCAGCGAGTCCAAGCGCATGAAGGTGGTGTCGTGCCCCGCCCGCCCTGCATGCCGGCCCCAGGGGGAGCGACAGGTGGAGGGCGGAAGGGAGTTCAAAGGGGAGTGTGGGAGAACGGCTACGCCCCCCAGAGCCAGGCAGGAGGGGGAGAGGGCAGCTGCTGTGACCACATAAACTAAGGTCTAGTTCCTGAAGTAGGGAGGAGATCTCCACCCTTGCCCTGGGAGCCACCGCATCGTGGGGGTTGACAAACCCGGCTGAGCAGGGTGGGCAGGGCAGGCAGACTAGCAGGTCAGCCGGGGCAAGAAGGAGGGCGGACCTGGGCCACCCGGACCTTCTGTACGGGTCTGGGTTGGGCCCCACACTGACCCTCCAGTCCCCAAGCGCGTCAGAGCAGACGCGAGGCTCTAAGTGCAAGGACCCTGGACTGCTTAGCTGGAGCTGGGGTCCAAGTCTCATGCATCGCAGAGGAGTCCCGGCAAGGACCCCGACAGCGACCCCCCCAAGCAGCTTACACGGGGTTGGTCAAGTGACAGCAGTTCCCTAGAAACTGACACAATGTTTCCAGTTCAGGCTGGTCATTCCTAAGACTCCCTGGACAGACACAATGTTTCCAATTCAGGCTGGTTCTTCCCAAGACCCCCTGGACAAACACAATGTTTCCAATTCAGGCTGGTTCTTCCCAAGACTCCCTGGACAGACACAATGTTTCCAATTCTGGCACATGGAGCCAACCCCCTCCCTCCCTGCCTCAGCTTGGCTAGGCCCACTGCCCAGGCCCCCTACTCCGAGAGGCTGTGCCCAGGGGTGGTCTCTGCCCAGGGTAACACTGTTTTCTGAGAAGTTGGGACTTTCTGATGGGGAAACCGAGTCTCAGGCTCAAGGTGGGGCCTGTCATGGCTCCACTTCGGCCTCCCGAGGGCAGGTGGGGGAGGAGGCTCGGGGGCGCCTGGAGCACCAGGCCTGGAGCACTGAGAAGCCGGAGTCGGGGCCCAGCCCAGGTGCGGCCAGGGCAAGCGTCCAAGCCCACGACCTCGGCCCAGCAGGCCCTCGCGGCACGTCCAGGTGGACCACGCCAGAACCACCCTAGGACTAGAGGAGCACCAAGCTGCTCCCAATCGGGCGGGTCCTCCCTTCCTGCCCATGTGCTTTCCCGCACAGCCCCCTGTAGATTATCAGGCCCGGGGAGCTTGGAGCAGGGGCTCAGCCCAGCCTGGGAACAGCCCCAAGAGCCGGTCAGGCAGGCACGGCCCAGGGCAAGAGAGCAGGATCAGTGAGCACTGGGGGAGCAGCTGGGTTAGAGGAGCACTGGGGAGGAGCCAGGTTAAAGGAGCACTGGGGGAGGAGTCCGGGTTATTGGAGCACTGGGGAGGAGCCGGGTTAGAGGAGCACTGGGGAGGAGCCGGGTTAGAGGAACACTGGGGGAGGAGTTCAGATTAGAGGAGCACTGGGAGGAGTCAGGTTAGAGGAGCACTGGGGAGGAGCCGGGTCAGCGAGCACTGGGGAAGAGCTGGGAATCGAGCACGGGGCGAGCCCTGGCCCGGGGCGAGCCCCCGTGCTCCTGAAGGGCTTCTGCTTGATCCCGCAGCAGCCCCTCAGCGAGACCATCCGGACGTCCACGCTCCCGCGGAACAGCGGCTCAGGGGCCGGCGGCGGCGAGAACGGCCGCGTGGGCAGCCACGACTTCCCCAAGTCCGTGCCCTCCGTGCCCTGCATGAGCCACACTTCAGGGATGCCCTTGGGGGCCACGGGGCTGTAGCCGAGCCCACCACACCCGCCAGTGCCAAAAACAACGACCAGGAAGGAAGCCGGCTGCCGGGATGCCGGGGGTGCCCGGCGGCAGGGGCAGCGCGTCCCCGCGGCCAACCCCGCGCCATGAAGAAACTGTTTTCTCTGACTGTCTTTGTACGTCCGTCCTTCCCCCTGCGCCAGGCGTGCAGCGTCCTCCGCCCCACCCCCACGCCGGCCCACCCTCACCAGCCCGCGTGGCTCAGGGGACCGTCCACTCCTGCCGGCCTCCGGGGGCCGCGCGGGCACAGCCGGGGGCCAAGGAGAGGACGCGGGTCTGGCCAGAGGGTCTTGCCCGGCCACACGTGCACGGACAACTCGGGGTTTTATGTCCATGGAAAGGGGTTCCCGGAAGCGAGAGGCCACAACCCCCACCCCAAGTAGACGCCAGAATCACAGGCACAGCCGGGGGTCCCACCACTGACCCCAACCCCCCGGAGCCTCCCCGTCACCCGCGACAGAAGGGGGCACTAGGGCTGCAGTGACCGCCAGGGCAGGGACCCCGCCTCCCCCAGGCCTCCGACCAGTGACCACGGCTCCTCACGCCCCCTGGCCCTCGGTGGGCAGCAGCGGCAGTAGACACACACAGTCAGGGGGACCCACCGAGGAGCAGCCTGCCGGCCCTCAGCGCTGGACATGGCGACCACCCATCACCCCTCCCTCTCTCTCTCTCCCCCTCTCCTTCCCTCTCCCTCCCTCTCTCCTTCCCCCTGCCCCCACCCCCCTCGAGAACCATCCCTGTCAATCTCCCTGTCCCAGGCCAGAGCCCAGACCCTCACAGCGGGCGGGGACCCGACCCGAGGAGGCGGCACGTGGGGCCACCATCCCCAATGCCCGCCCAGCCCTGCCACCCCCCGCGACCCACCCTGGGAGCCGCAATGCCCGGCCGGACGCCCCGACTCGGGAGGGTCTGGCACACGCGAGAGACAAGCTGACTTGATTCTGTATTTCTACTACTTTTCTTAAACGCTGAGCAGTGGGCGACGGCCGCTTGCTCTCGGTGCCCGTCTTCTCTCTGGCCTCCTGACTTGTTCTGACTCTCGGCACCTGTGTGAAAGGAGTTTGCTTGATCAAACACTAAATATATTTTCGGTCCCTGTTTCTCTTTCAGATAGCCAGCTGTTTATTTTTTTCCCCCCTTTTGGTATTTGCATAAAACAAAAATGTCACCGAGAATTAAATCACTGTGGGTCCATAATCTCTCTTCATTGCTGTTCATCCCATCGTGCCATCACTCAGGGCAGGCTCGAGGCTTAGGGGCCCCGCACAGACACAGAGACCCCTCTCCACTCGGCGGGCACCAGCAGGGACCCCAGGGCCAGGCAAGGACCTTGTGGGCCCCGGCTGAGGGCTCGGGGCACTTCCGGAGATGGCCCCTGTGACCGTCTCTCCCGACACCCCACCATGTCTCCCACAGAGGCGCTGGGCTCGGGAGGGGCCACCCTTTCTGAGCGTCCCCCTCAGGAGGGCACCGGGCGTGCCCCCAGCTGAGCTATCTTTCATCCAGGGGTCCAGAGGGCACCAGGAGGGCCCTGCCGCCCGTCCCGGGGACAGAGGCAGGAGCAGCAAGAGAGGGGCCACCTGAGGTGGGCACAGTCGCCGCCAGCTCCCGAGGTGCAGGCCGGGCCGGGGGCTCTGTAGAACACAGGCAGAGGGCACCCTGCGGGGCCCAGGGGACACCCGGCCACCAAGCCCTGGGACAATGCAGAGCTCCCGGGCCCCTGTGTCCAGGGCACCTCTGGGCGGGCACTTTCCAAACACAGCCTGGGGTGAGGAAGACCTTGGCTCCTCCTTAGGGACCTGCAGGGACCCCCACCAGGCCCGGCCCTGCCTTCTAGCCCCCAATCCAAGTGGCCGGGCCCTGGGGGAGGCCGTGGACGCAGGCAGCCCGAAGCAATGCAGAGTTGTCTCGAGTGTGGGTGTCTGCCTGGGCAGAGTTTCCTTGTCAGCACATCTCAGCCCCTGGCAGAGACACAAGGCACCAGTGCCCGGCACCAGCAACCTCCTGGCCAGAGCTTCCGGGAGGACAGCTAGGGGAGGGGACGCAGGCCTGGACGAGTGGAACGAGAGAGAGACCACAGGCAGGGCCAGGGCCCGCCGGGAAGCCGAGATGCAGAGCTGAGGCGAGGAGGGAGTGGTTGAAGCCGAAACCACTTGGTCAGCTAGTTATTTCAGACAGAACTTCATCACTCATTCACTTCATCCTGCCTTGGAGGCCACGACGGGAAGGGGGGCACCGGGGGCGTGAGATCATTTTGGTTTTAGTTTCAGGGAAAAAAAAAGCTGTTCTGACCTAGAGGTCCTGTCTCCACACACCCGCTCATTTAGCGGGAAAGAAGGCGCAGTTGCTAATTTGATTGAGTAATCAGCGTAATGAGCTGCTCAGAAACCGTTTAGCGGTGAAAGGAAAGCTCATTCCTCAGCCGCAAAGCCACAGTGGGGGGCGGGGGAGGTTGGGCGCAATCAGGCCGCAGCAGCTGTGGGCTTGGGGCTGGCCTGCGGGGAGGGGGGCTGAGCCACCCCTGTCGGAGGCCAAGGGTCCTTTCTAGTTTCACACGGAGAGGCTCGAGGTGCTGGAGCCCAGGCCGTCCTGAGTCCTGAGTCCCTGCGGCTGAGAAACTGCTCCACCCGCACTCAGCTGCCTGCCCGTGAAATCCGACCCTCCCCAGACGGCGCCCGGCGCCCAGTGCCACCCCTCCTCACGGTGGTTGTGCCAGAGCACTGGGCAGGCACGAGGTACGCTGTCCGAGGCTCAGCGGGTGGCGCCGCGAGAGGCCTCTGGGGGCCACCAGCCCTGGGATTTGGTTTCCTTTGCCCGTGGCGGAAAGAGCCGTGAGGGAGGGTCTGACTGCTCGAGTCCACCCCCCCCCCAACCTCCCCGGGGACAGCTCGACGCCGCCTGTGTCCCGCCCTCTGACTTGGCACCACAGAAGCCCTGGAACCAGGGAGGCTCCCCACAGCCGCGAGATGAGCCCGCGGGTCCTGGCCGCTGCCCAGCTCTGCACACGGGGTCAGTCCTCCCCGGAGCCCCTCTGGGCAGTGGCCAGAGTCCAAGTCGCTCTGGGGGGAGTCAGCACGGCTGAGGCGGGGGACGGGGCCCTGAGCACGTCCCCCTGAGCAGGGAGAGCAGCCGGAACATGGCCTGAAGCCCCACAGCCGGGGTGGGGCCCTAACGGCTGTCCCTGGTGGCCCCAGTGCCTGGCACATGGGGGCTAGCAAGGCCCAATGTTGGCAGGGGGGCTACACAGAGGTTCCAGGGCCCCCAGAGCTCTCCTGGCAGCCCTTGCTGGGATGCATACACAAGGAAAGGCTAACGAGGGGGATGCACAGGATGCTGCACCGAGGGGGATGTGCACAGGACACTGCACCAAGGGGGATGAGCAAAGGATTCTGCGCCGAGGGCGCCTGGCCGCTCAGAGGGGGACGCACACAGGACACTGCACCGAGGGCACCCAGCAGCTCAGAGGCAGCCATAGTCCTGAGCAGTGCCCAGTGGCACCGCACACACCATCCCTCTCTCAGTGTTGTGAAACTGTCCAAGAAGGACCAGCCATGGACACAGCATGGGGTCTGATGACCATGGACACAGTGTGGGGTCCCTGATGACCGTGGACACAGCATGGGTCTGATGACCGTGGACACAGCGTGGAGTGAGTGACATTCTGCGCGGTGTCAGGTGGGGCTGGGTGAGCCCAGTGGAAGCATCAGCCCCAGGAAACAGGCCAGAGCCTGGAGTCCCCCAGCCCCCTGAAGTTCAGCTCCCGCGGCTGCCCCCAGAAAAGTCCCACCGGGCACTGGCTGGGCAAGGACCCCCGGCACGTAGCCTCGGCTGCCCGGCCAGCCCCCTGCCCACCTGCGGCAGCCCTGTTGCTCACGCCCCTCTGAGGAGGCTTTGGAGCACGGAGCACCCGGGGCCCGGCTCACTAGAACACACGCGTGGAGCCACAGGAGACCCCCGCGCTCCGACAGCGGGAGCCGTGGGGTCGGGCTGGAGCAGGCAGAGACACCTCCTTGGGCAGGCCGGGGGATGCAGGCCCGGAGCTCCAGGGTCCCCCAGAGGCGGGGAGTAGAGGGGATGGACACTACCAGAGCCCGGGCATGGCAGCCAGCTGCCCCTGGGCCATCCATGGGGCAGAGCCTGTCCCCTGACCCCTGACCCTCTGAGACTCCACAGTCCCCGCCCATACCTGCCACCTCACGGTCAGTGCTTAGGCCCCGATGACCACTGTCCACACCACAGGCTCCTTGTCGGGGTCGTGGGCACACTCAGCAGCTCACACGGCAAAGCCCCCTCATGCTCGCCACAGACGGGAAGACGCAGGGGAGGGGGGACAGAGGGCGCAGGGAAGGGAGGGCGGGGCAGCCACGGGGCAGGGGGCCACAGGGCAGCAGGTGTCAGGGCCTTGCAGTGAGGGCTGCTGGGTGAGCAAAGGCAATAGGAATGTTCCAGAAGGGACCCAGGACTGCCCAAGTCTGCTCTTCTGCTCTCACTGTCCATCTGTGTGGCTGACGCTCTTTTCCCCTGAGCCTGTTTAGTGCCAGGATCCACGGGGCAGGCGAGGGGACAGGAACGAGCACCTCAGGAGGGTCCTGCCAGGACACGAGGGCCGAGGGGAGCTGGGGGGTCAGCATGGTGGACAAGAGCCAAGTGTCAGCAATGGCAGAAGCAACACAGAATACTGAATCGAAGCTGCCACCCAGACCCTCCCAGAGACTCCCAGACTCTCCCAGACCCCCCATACCCCCTTCCAGACCCTTCCAGACCCTCCTAGATCCTCCCAGCCCCCCCCCAGATCCTCTCAGACCTACCCAAATCCTCCCAGATCCTCCCAGACCCTCCCAGATTAACCCAGATCCTCCCAGATCCACTCAGATCCTCCCAAATCCACCCAGACCCACCCAGATCCTCCCAAACCCTTCCAGATCCACCTAGATCCTCCCAAATCCACCCAGATCCTCCCAGAACTACCCAGATCCACCCAGATC